CTCCTCTTTTCAGTCATGGTCGTTCATGGTGGGTTGTGGTGTGAGCTAGGATGTTGGCAAGGAGCTTGGAAATGTTGTAGGTGGTTGAGTTTATACTGCTAACTAACTTTATACTTCTAAAAATGTCCTCTTAAGGGACTCTCCACTATTTTGGTTTTAGAACTTCCACAGCATGTCTTTTATCCTGTCTTCCTTCTCTCACCCCAACCGGTCGCGCCAGATGGCCACTCCTCCCTGAGCCTGGTTCTGCTGGAGGTTTCTTCCTGTTAAAAGGGAGTTTTTCCTTCCCACTTTTGCCAAAGTGCTTGCTCATAGGGGGTCATATGATTGTTGGATTTTTCTCTGTATGTGTTATTGTAAGGTCTACTTTAGAATATAAAGCGCATTGAGGCGACTGTTGTTGTGATTTGGTGCTGTATAAATTGAATTGAACTGAATTGAATTGAATTGAACTGAGGCAGCCTCTTGGATGAAAGATCAAATGTCTCCACAAAGTCGAAGAAGTCCAGTCACTTTCTTCCCAAGCTATTTAGACAACACAATTTATAACAAATCATTTGCAGGGAAAGAGTGAAAATGAACTGGTAGTTAACAGGTGGCAAAAGGAATGTTGTTAATAGAGAAACAGCGTTTAGTAGCGAAATATTATGGAGATGAAAATGCAAAGAATTCAATATTTCATTGTACTTGCATGTTTGTGAATGGCTGCTCTCAAACCGGTTTGAGAGCAGCCATTAGTTTTACTCCAAAACCTTGCAGGTCCTCACTTGAAATCTGGTTGAGAAAGAATGTAATCTGGATATCTCAGAAAAAATGATATGAATCATAGCAGCCACATGGCAAAAGATCACAGCTTCAAAGTGAAGCATCGCATGACTGTAGTAGTATAATGAAGCAACTCACAGAACAGTGTGTCCTTTTCTTTTGAAGAAATTATTATCACTCAGTTCTTCCAGTTAAACCTTTGTTTACCCAGATGTCCATCTAAAAAAAAAAAAAAGCACTGTGTATATAAAGTATTGTTTTTCTTTTCTCTGTTTAAAGGATGAATTTGATGTGATGATGCCAACCCACCTTTGACAATGTATGAGGTGATGTCTGGTGACACCCTGTCCTGGAAGGTGCCCAGTCCACGACAAAATGAAACGGAGGCTGGCCCTGAAGCACAATTCTCTGGGGATGGTGGACCTGTCAAAATCCTTAAAGTGTGCTTCTGCACCAACAACAACCTGGGCAAGAATTTCAAGCTGGTGAAATGTGACAACTCCTGGCAAATTAGGGTGAGAGTGTAGCCCAGAAAATATGGGGAAGAGAATTTCATTGTCAAAAAAGGGAAGTGCCAAATCGTGTTTCCACCACTTAATGTTATAATTTTATCGCCATTACATATTTAAACGAGTTTAAACCAGAAATTTCAATAAACTGAAGGATGACCAAAAATCTTTTCAAAAAGTATTTTTTTAAACTTCTTTTTTTCTCCTTTAGGCTATCATTCGTTCGATTCTGGTCAGCGGGCGTTTAGGGCCAAACGTTCAACACGCAGGATGCTATGGCCTCATGCTAAAGCACCTGAAGTCAGAAGAACTTCACTGGCTCCATCCAGACCTGACTGTCGGAGAAGTGGAGAAGCGCTATGAGAGCAATCATCTGGAAGCTGAGTGGAGGTACTGATGGACTATTAGGATATTAATCTGTAATTAACATATGTACTTTTTGTAAGCTTTATTGTATTGAGTTTTATTTGTAAGCTGATATCTATATTTTCCTTTCGAGCACAGATATGACCTTCGTATCAGATACATTCCTGTGAATTTTGTGGAAAAATTCAAAGATGACAGATCGACCTTTGTGTATTTTTACCAACAGGTAACTGTATTTGTTATCCTATCATAAAAGCGTCATGCCTCTATTGTACTTGTTGTTGTTGTTTAACTGATATCCTGTGCATCATTTTAGCAAATCTCGTGTAGAGTGTGTTACTTTAGTTGCTTAAGCCTAGCTAAATTTGCTGCTGCCTTTGCAAGTCGCTTTGCAACCCAACTCTACTAAAGAAGCCAACCCTAAATGAGGAGAGACTGCAAAGGCAAGGAAAAATCAAGCAAAAAGCAAACGAGGTGCAAATGATTTAAAGAGAACTGAAAGACTCCGGACGAACTTCGATTGAAGTACTACTAACAATTGATTTGTTGGTATTCGCATAAAACTCAAATTTGTGACGTGTTATTATAGGTGCGTAGTGATTACATGCAGTATCATGCCAGTAAAGTCAGTGACGGGATGGCATTGCAGCTTGGTTGTTTGGAGATCAGGTGAGTCACTGCATTCCTTACCTCGCTGTGAGTGTGAGGTGACTGAACTGGGTGTATTTACTGTACACTTTCCAATCATCTCGCTCTTGCAGGCTCTTTCATAACTTAACCCATATTGCTGTGCTTTGTATTTAATAGAATGATCAAAAGCTATAGTTAAATTGCTCACATTTGCCTTTATTTTTATTAATCATTTTGTACCTTTATTCTCACTCTGTTTTCACAGGCGGTTCTACAAAGACATGAATGCAAAAGGTCTTGAAAAGAAATCTAACTTTGAGCTGCTAGAGTAAGTTTTTACTTTCTGTACAGTACAAAGAGTTCTCGCTCTAATATTACATTAAAGGCTTTTAAATCCAGTTTAACTGGTGTTGTTTAATTACGTTACCCTAAAAGTGACACTTCATGGCTTGTGAACCCTCAGCTTCAAAACATGATTAAAAATGCCTTGAATTAAACTAAAAGACCATTTTTTAAATATTAAATCAGAATCAGAATACCTCATTAATCCCTAGGGAAATTATGTAATACTAAGTAAAAGACAAAGAAAAAAAAGTAAGACAAGTCACAGCATGGAGGAAAATCAGGACCAATTCAAACAGGCTGCATACCGGTTGATGCAAGCTCAATATAAAATTTAAATGACATGATGATGATTTAAAAAGCCGATACATTATTATATATTATATTTATTCATTTCTTTGAGACACCCTAAATATGTGTAGCTATTTATTGTTCCTTACCAAAAAACTTGAACTGAAATTTTTATTTATATTTATTGGCCATTATAAATGCCAGTACCAACAGTTTGACAAACAGCTAACGTCGGCAATAGATTGCCTTTCAAGCTCTAGAGTATGTTTTTAATTCTGAATATTCTTCTAAGGTTTTTTGTTTGTTTTACCAATTTAGAAAAGAAGTTGGCCTGGACCTTTTCTTTCCACAGCAACTGATTAACAGCATGAAGGTAAATTTCTCTAAACGTGACTTAGTGTGTCCTACCTAAACAGGCACCCACAAATTATGATACTTCCTTTGCAAATTAATATTGAGTCACTATTGTGCAAAAGTGCAAGTTTTACCATTTTCAAATCTCTGTGGCTGTGATCCAGCCTAGGCCCCTGCGCAAGATGATTCAGCAAACATTTCAGCAATTTGCAACACTCAAGGAGGATAACTGCATGATCAAGTTTTTTGAGACGCTTAAGGAGTTCGTCAGCTACGATGAAGAGGCCTTCCCCTGTGAACTAGTGGTGAGCAGGAACACGATGTTCATCTGGAGCAATGAATCGTGTCTTATTCATAAATAACAAAATAGATCTCGTTTAGCTTGTCCAGAACTCCAAGATCTGTAGATTTACTGTTTGAGGTATTAATGTTTCAAATGTTTTTATTTGTCAATAGCAAGGCTGGAGTCTGTCGGTGGAGCTGGTCGTCGGTGGGAGAGGAATTCGCCAACGCACACAGAAGGATTCAGCTGTAAGCGTGATTAAGATTTTGTTAATCTTGCACACAGGTTTAACTTCATAATTTAATCATTGCATTCATTCCTTTTGTGTGGCAGGCTGTGTTTTTAGCTGACTTCAAACAAATTAAGAAAGTACAATGCATATCGCAGAACGATGGCAAGGCTCTCCTAAATCTTGACATAGAGGGCGCGAAGCAAGTAAGTGTAATATTCCTCCCTATAGTTTGAAATATTAGGGAATGTCACTCAATAGCTCCCTTTGTTAGGTACACCTCGTTGGTATTTGATTGGACTGTTTTCTCTTCAGCACTCCCTCGATTCTTTGTGGCACAGATTTGTGAAGGTGCTGGAAACATTGCTCAGAGATATTGATCCATATTAACATCACAAAGTTAATGCAGATTTGTCGGGTGCACATTCATGATGTGAATTAAGATCTGAGGCCATTTAGTACAGTGAACTCATTGCTATGTTTAAGAAAGCAGTGAGCTTTGTGACATGTTGTGTTTCATCAGAAGATGGGTACACTGTGGTCAGAAAGGCATGGGCATGGTTAGCAAATGTGTTGGGTGTTGAAACTATGTTCAGCTGGTGCTAGGTCAACATGTACCAAGAAAAGTTTCCCCCACACAATTACAGCATCACCAGCAGCATGAACAAGGCAGGATTTATTTATGCTTTTATGTGTTGTAGACCCAATTCTGACCCCCACTAAGCAAATGTTGCAGCAACATTAAAGATTCATTAAACAAGCAATTTTTCCTATCTTATGTTGTCCAGTTTTGGTGA